GCGGAGTCTGCCTTCGCAATCATAAAATATTTCATCCGATTGCATTCTTTGCTCGAGCTGCTCTTGAACCCATTCGTAGTGCAGGTGGTCGGCGTTGATGTCGGTCGGCATTTTTGTATGAGTCTCGGAGGCCTGTAGACAAAGTTCGTGCCGCGTGGGTGAGGTATGTGCGTTGTAGGTGTAGGTTTGATTGGGTCGCTGTTCCTGGTCACAGGTCGCATGTGTCTGTGTGGATGCAGGTTGACTACTGGCATGGGCTTAAGTCCGCCGATGATTTGCGGCCAGGCTGGGTTGTCGGGTGTTAGCGACAGGAGCTCGTAGTGTGCTGGTGGAGGTCGTGGATGCGGTGGTGCCTGTGGCAATGGCTCCGTTACCGTACCGTGCCGGACTTGCTACTTCTCCTCCTCTTCTTCCTCCTCCTCCTCTTCTTCCTCCTCCTCTTCGTCCTCCTCCTCCTCCTCTTCTTCCGCCTCCTCCTCCTCCTGCTCATCCTCTTCTTCTTCCTCCTCCTCCTCTCCTCCTCCTCGTCCCCTGCCGCTGCCTCCCACCCTGCCCCCCATCTTTCGTCGCCCCCCGTCCTCGTCCAGGCGGGGGGGGGTCAAGCCAGCGTCCCCGCCAGAAACGACGTCGACCGACGACGACGACGCCGACGCCGACGCCGCCGCCGACGACGACGACGGACGACGGACGACGACGACGAGCGAACGCGCAGGCTCGCGCGCCAGGCTCGCGCACCGAGGGCGGAAGGGGTGGCTGACCCGTCGGCTGCTTCGCCTTGCCAGGGCGTGCGGCGGCGGAGGAGGAGGAGGAGGAGGAGGGGCGGCTGCCCCGTGCCGTCGGGCAAGGAAACGGGCGAAAGCGAGGAGGAACCAGGTGAACGTCTTCTCATTCGGCGTTTCAACACTGGGCGGAAGGAGGGGGGGGGGAGGGGTCTGGCGCCGGACCTCTGCTGAGCGCGGCTGTCTGCAACAGGGCGTCCCGTGGAGGAGACCCCACCTGCTGGAACCAGGCGCCAAAAACAGCCACGATCTGCTCCAAGGAGGGAGGGGGGGGGGGGTGCGAGGGCCCGCGCCGATCGGCAAAACAGTGAAGAAGAAACGATTCCCAGAGGAGAAAGAGGAGGAGCTTGCCCCGGGTATCCGGGATTGGCTGGCGCCCGCAGGGTCCCGCCCTTCCAGGCCCCGCCCTCGGGATCCCGCCTCCTCCTCCTCGTCCTCCTCCCTCATGCGTTGGCATGCATCGGCAGCCCTCCCCACCCGGGCAGCCAATTCGTCTTCCGCTCGTGCTACCCCTAACCTGGGCAGCCAATTCGTCACTCCGCACGACCTACCCTTTCCCACCCCGCTCTCCCGCTCCGCAACCTCGCCCCACCTTGGCACGCAATTCATTGCTGGGCTACCCCCAGACCCATAGCCGAGCAGCCCTCCCCTGGTGCTACCCCTAACCCGGGCAGCTAATTCGTACCGATCCTTGTGGGGGCTACTAGCCAGGGCGAGCCCTCGCTAGCAACCCCTACTAACAGGCTGCGAGTTGGGGTGCAACCCAAGCAGACCTGGCAGTTTGGTCAGTGATTCCCCTCCTCCTCCTCCTCCTCCTCCTGCCCTGAGCCGTCGGGCGAAGAAAAGGGCGAACGCGAGAGATCAGGATGAAGGTATGGACGAGAAGAAGGACACTGACGGATTGCACAGCCTCAAGGGTGGCTGGTCCCTGAAGTCAGGATGGGCCGCTCATCCTGAAGTGGTGCCCACTTGCCCACCATGTCTTGAACCAGGGCGTTAGGCCCCACCGAGCGTGGAGGACTTCCCGAGAGTGATATTGAGTGCGCTGGGATGTTCTGTGAGGGAATGGAGCAAGAAGGGAAACATATCGGGCGGGCAGTCGGGCAGCAGGAGGGTGCCAGAACGGAATGACGCAGCGAGGGAAAGGTAGACCAGTTAAGCGAGAGCGGGATGATGTTCATCAAGGGGATGGTGTCTGACCCACTTCTCGTGGATACCAGTGCGTTCTCCAAATATATGTGGTCAGGGTGTGTAGCTTTGAGTATTAGGTTGAGCATGTTCTTGATGCTGAGGCAGAAGAGCAAGGCGAGAAGGCCAGTAGGTCGGGCGGGCATCGGGGTACCGAGAACAATTGCGACAGTGAGTACTGGAACGGGAAGTGGAATAAACAGCGCAAAATAGGGGAGAGGGCGCGGCAGGGGAAGAAGGAAGAATGAGAGAGATGAATAGGAGCATGAGGAGTATGGGTATGAGTATGAGTATGAGGAGGAGGAGGAGGAGGAGGAGGAGGGATAGGATAAGGACGTGGAGAAGGAGGGAAGAACACTTGTATAACAGAAGATAGGGAAGAGGAGCGGCGCAGGATGTACGGCGTCTCCCAAGGATGGAGCTCGACGAGCTCAGGCGTACGGCTCGAAGTCTAGAGCTGCTGCTGCTGCTGCTCCTCCTCCCCCCCTCCTCCTCCTCCTCCTCCTCCTCCTCCTCCTCCTCCTCCTCCTCCTCCTCCTCCTCCTCCCTCCTCCTCCTCCTCCCCCTCCTCCTCCTCCTACTCCTCCCTCCTGCCTCGCTCCTTCTTCCACGGCCTCCTTCCTCCTTCTACTCCTACCCCTTCTTCCTCCATCCTCCTACTCCTTCCTCCTTCTTCCACGGCCTCACTCCCTCCTCCAATGTAGACGTTCCTGGGCACGTTGGGGCGATCGGGCCCCTATCGGCGATCCATGGGCGATTGGGGGTCGACCCCCCCCCCATGCCTATCCCCCCCCCTATCGTTGCCCCTGATCCCTTTCCCCCCCCCCTGTGCCTATCTCTCTATGCCTATCCTCCCCCTATGCCTATCCCCTCCCCTATGCCCTTCCCCCCCCTATCGTTGCCCCTGATCCTGCTCCTTCTCCTCCTCCTCCCTCCGTCTCCAGCCTCTTAGGAGGAGGAGAGGAGGAGGAGGAGGAGGAGGAGGAGGAGGACCGGCGAGCCGCTCATCTCCATCCTCCTCCTCCTCCTCCTCCTCCTCCTCCTCCTCCTCCTCCTCCTCCTCCTCCTCCTCCTCCTCCTCCTCCTCTCATCATCATCATCATCATCATCATCATCATCATCATCATCATCATCATCATCATCATCATCACTCCTCCCTTCTCCAAATTCCTCCTCCCTCCCCCCTCCTCTTTCCGCATGCCGGGCCACGCCGGTCCGCCCGGCGCCCCCCCCCCCACACACCAGGGCCGCGCGGGCTGGGGAACGAAAGTGTCGCTGAGGCGTCCCAGTGGGCCTCATGCCCTGACGCCCGGGCGCCCAGCGTCGCCCCCCCATGGCCGAACCCTGAGCACGGGCAGCAAGCCCTGTCAGGCCACCCGCCTGGCACCCGAGGCCCGGGAGGGGCCCTGAGCCCGCTGGGCGCCCCCGTGCGGGACGCCGCCAGTGAGGCTGATTAGCGCCGTGCCCATCCCAAGAGATGGGCAGCGGCCTGCGCGAACACGGCCCCGCCCCATCAGATATGTCCGCGGACCGGGGGAGGCAAGGGGCAGAGAGGGAGGCGCCGAAGGGAGGAGGCAGAGAAGGCACAGGCGGGGGGGGAGAGCCAGCAACGAGTTTACCCGAGAAAACACAGGGTGCCCAGAGACTTGTCGGAAACAACGTTTTCGACGATTCTCTGTGCACCTGGTTTTTTTGTTGTGTAAACCTGAACCAGCCCGCAAGGGGGGCAAGGAGGGCGGGAGGGGACGGGGGAGAAAGGGGGAGCGAAAGAAGGGAGGGGCGGGAAGGAGAGAGGGCGAGCAGGGGCAGGAGGGGCCCTGGACAACGCCATCACGGGCCAGCCGCTGGGGCCTCGGCAGTGCCCAGGGACAGGCGGCTCCACCAGTGACCCAGCCAGCACTGGGTCTCTGTTAGAGATGCTGCCTCCAGATGCCGCCGAGAGAAGGGCACCAGCAGCCCCCGGGCAAATTTATGGTTGATGGGGGCCCCGTTGGTGCCAGGAAGCGGCCATTCCCGCGGCGACTCAGTCGCCGAAGCTGCCTCCGGGCAACGAGCGGCAGCCGCCCGACCCACTGCTTACTGTGGGTGGGTGCAGCATCTATGCAAATAGCGACGACCGAGCCCCGCAGCCGCGCTGGAGCCGGGCTGCCGCCGTTGCTGCCTGTGGCACCACCTCCGTCGGCGGCTCGCCCAGGATCAAATCAGCGCTGATGGGGTCGGCCCCGGAAGTTCGGGGGCAGTCGCCGCCGGCTGGCCTTGGTCCGCGGCTCTGGGCCCCACCCCTGGGCGACGAACTCCCAGGCGCCCGAAAAGTCCTGCCATCGCTGCAGCCTAAGAGCCCTGGACCTGCTCCGACGACTGGAGGACCTCTCGCGCCTTGGCGCAGCGGGGGTCCACCTGGACCCTGGCCCGCAACATGCGCCCCCGTCCGCGGTAGCGCGCGGGCACCGCGCCTGCCACCCCAGGGCGTCGAGGATCCGGACTAGGGCCACAGGCCCCGCGATGCCAAGGGGCCATCTGCCCCACTCCTCCTGTGCACGATTCGCGCCCTTGTCGAAGTCTGGCAGGTGGGCGCGCAGCTCCAGTCCGAAGAGGGCCTCCGACTGGGCGCGCATCCAGAGCAGCTGCGTCGGGAGTTTGGAAGAAATCCCCCAGTCTTGCATGGCCCAAACACGCTGGAGGCCCATCAGGCGCGCCGCCGCCAGACGCGATCGGAGATGAGCTTCTCCCAGGCCGCGCAGGCCCCGAGAAGAGAGGGGGCATCGGACGTCATCCTTAAACGCTCGCGGGCCCACCCGCGCGGCCGCCGTCTGGAGCAGGGGGGGGGGCAAGACGCGCGGCATCGGACGACGCGCCATTCATGATGGTGTCCCGGCTCTCCCCGGCTTGCTGGAGGATCCGCCACTGCCACGTTTGGCACGGGGGTGTCCGAGCCGCCCAGAGTCCCCATGCATGCCCGGAACCCCCGCGGGGATGTGTCAAGCTCAACGCCAAAGGTGGTGACGTCTGCGGCCGTCTGGGGCTTGGCTGCACTCCCATGCAGTATAGGATGGGGTTCAGCTTGCGGCCGTCTGGCATTCCGACCTTCGGCTTAAATCTGCGGGGCCACTGGCCGCGGGCCGCCGCCGTGACGGCGTCGTGGGCCAGCATTGTCTCCAGTTGCAGCCGCGCCTCGCCTCCTATCCTGGCCTTGCGGCTGCTCGCTACGAGGGCTTCGCGGCGGTCCTGGGAGTCAAGGGCTTCTGCTTCGTCTGCGAAGAGCTCCATGAGCAGCAACCCAAGCGCCTTCCGGAGCCCTGTTAGGCGCCGTTGCGACCAGAGTTCCTCAAGCACGCCTCCCCGCGGAGCTTACAACGAGCGCCCAGCACCCCCCCGTAATATTGGCGATTCCGCCCCTCTTTGGCGGATTGATAGATGTCCTGCTCCAACCGGAGGTCGGCCGCCGCCCCGCGACGGATCGCCAAGGGCATCATGTTGAGCAGGCTCTGGGTCATTGCGGGGTGGCCGCAGAGGACCGACGCGCGCGGCAGGCCCCTGCAGTGCGATTCGACGCGGATTTGCCTGGGCCCCGCCTTCATTTCTCCCGGGGCGCGTGCGTCGGTCGCCGCCCAGCGCTGCAGGTCATCGACGGCCTCGGCGCGGATGCTGCCCATCGCCCTTGCGAGCCCACCGCGGTGCTCCTGGCCCCGCTCGCCTACCCGCGGCGGCCAGACTCTCCCAGGGATATACCGTAATACCTTGCGGCGCCATCTAGACTGCCGCGGGCCCGTCGAGCTGGGCAGGGCGCTCCGGATCGGGGGGCTGGGTGTCGCGCTCGAGGTGGGCCGCCTGAGCGCTTTGCCCGCGGCCTGGGGGGTGGTCGCCACTGGCTGTCGGACGTCGCCCTGCACTCGACGCTCGGCCTGCCTCCGAGCGCCCGCGCGCACTGCTCGCAGCGCCCCATCGGGCCGCGCAGATGGCGGCCGCTGCGCGCGGGCATCCAGGGCTAGCCTCGAGGCGCCGCGCTGCCGCGGCGACGTCGCGCAGCGCGTCTGCCTCCACGCGGAGCGCCCGGTCGCTCCGCCCCTCGCCTCCGCGCCCGCGCGCCGCGCGGCCCAGGCCGGCAGCCCGCTCGGCCGTGGCCGGTCCGAGGCGCCGCGCCCAGGCTGCCGCCGCCAGCGCGCTCTCGCCGCTGTCCTCTGATGCACTCCGCCGCAAGTCGCATTGCAGCGGGGGCTCGACCTCCATGCGCAGGGCGCGGAAGAGGTCGCCGCTGCGCTCGCTGGGCGCCTCGCGCAAAGCAAGCGCACCCCCGTGGAATTGGAGCTCCTGGGGGGGGGGCGCCCGGCAATTGCGCGCGTCGGACGGGTGAGGCCAGGCGGCGGGGGGGCGGCCCAGGTCTGTCCAGGACTTCGCGCCTCCTGCCGCGCGCGGTGTCCGGGCGCCCCCGGCGCTCACAGCGCTCGCCATCATGGGCTCGGACAGCAGGCGCGCCCGCCCGGCGCGGCCCCCAGGCCGCATCCGGCCGGCGTCCTGCCGCATGGGTAGCGACCTCCTGCGGCGCGCTTTCGATCATGTCCCCGGCGGCCAGCAGGCCGCGGACCAGCGGGTCTGCGTCCGTGGGCGGGTTGAAGTCTCCAGCCAGGTATGCGGCCCCACCGCGATGCTTCGCGACGGCGGCGGCCTTGTCGCATTCTGCGAAGATGGCGCGCAGGAGCGCCTTCCGCATCTCCTCGTTGGCGCCGCGTCTTCGCGGGCGCGCGCTGAAACCCCCCAGTGAGTGGCCAGCCCAACCTGGGCCCGGCATGTCGCCCACGAGGTGGGCCAGGATGGCACGTGCAACGCCGCGCCTGCCCTGTCGCTGCGCGCGAACAATGCCGCGGCGCCATGCTCCGGCACCCGCGGCCCGTGCACTCTGAACGGGAATCCTGGCAGCGCCGTGGCTGGATCCTCCGTCATCGGGCACCTGCAGCAGATTCCGAAGAACCAGCTGGCCTCCGATGTCGGCCCGGCGTTCACAGAGGAAGGCTCTCCCCTGAACGTCGGCCCCACCGCCGAGGCCGAAATGGATCATCCCCCCGACGCTTGCGACGGCCAGCGCCTGTGCAGGGCGCCCCTTGCCCGGCGGCCGCTGCGGCCTCGCCCCCGGCTGCCCGGGCAGCGCCTGGGCCGCGCGTTGGAGCCCGCGGCCCGCCGCCGACGCAGCAGGCAGGTGTGCCGTCACCTCGCGCCAGGCCCGCTCTGACGATCTCCGGAGCAAGCGCCCGTGCTCTGCCTGGACTTGCCGCGCTAGCTCCTCAGTGAGGCGCGGGCCTGCCATGGCTGCCTCAAGCGTCCCTGCGCTTTCTTCCACCGCTTCCTCTTCTATTTTGCTTCAAGGCAACCTCCACAGCCTGACAGCACTCGGCTGTCACTCCAGGGGGTTCCAGGGGGATACATGGAGGTCAGCGCCGCTGCTGCCTCCCCCCCGATGGACACCCCGCCTGCTGGGAGCGTACTAGCACCTTTTGCGACTGCCCTCCGTGCCGCACTCGCGCAGGATTGGAGGTGGCCT